CCCTCCTCCCTGAAACTGACCAGGGCTCAGGACTGATTCACCAGCCCCTGAGCTTTGGGTGGGCTGCCTGCCCAGATGTCAGGGATCATTGTTGGGGTTGTCTTTGGACAGCTCTTCCTCATTGTCCTTTTGTTTGGAGTTCATGTGACCAGTGCAGTATTCCTGAGCTTTTTGGGGTCTTCCTGGCAGAGATACTGGGTGGAAAGTAGTTTGCCATTCCCTTCTACATCTTACAGATGAGGAAACTGAAGCAAACAGGTGTATCTGAGGTTGGATTTGAACTCAGGGAGATGAGTCATCATGAGCCCAGGCCCAGCTCTGTCCACTGAGCCATCTAGCCTGGTTGCCCCCTTGTTCTTCCTATTCTGACATCTAACCTGGGTGGGGGGTGGGCATAGCCCACTACCACCTTGTCACTGGAAGTGGTTTGGTGACTATTACAGCTCTGTACAAAGGGCCAGTATTTGGGTTTTTTTCCAGGTGTGAATCTTTTCCCCTCCCACAAAGAAGAATGGAAATGTTTGTAGAACTGTTTGTAAATTGTTTCTTCTGCAGTGATGAGTAAAATTAAAATTCTCTCTTTCAGGTTTTTATTCTATTGCGGAAAGTGAATACTTTTGAATATATTATTCTTATACGGATTGATAGTTTCCTGTATCCCTCACTCCCCTGCAAGGTGATTGCTGGGGTCAGCCCTCTGCTGGCGGCCCCTTGTGAGACTTCACAGAGGCCTCTCCTTGAGCCCAGGCAGGCCCTGGAACAGTTCCATCTTACCAGCAGAGTGAGGTAAGGGGATTTGGTAGCAGGGGTCCCAGGGTCGATCGAAATCAGTGTGTCTGGTATGCTGGCCAAAGGTCAGTCTGACACTCTTCCTGGGAAGGCGTCCGTGGGAGAAGTCTCCCAGACTGTGCCCTTAATTAGGGAATGGCCTGGGTCACAGGACCCCCACCCCCCCTGAAACTGACCAGGGCTCAGGACTGATTCACCAGCCCCTAGCTTTGGGTGGGCTGCCTGCCCAGATGTCAGGGATCATTGTTGGGGTTGTCTTTGGACAGCTCCTCCTCATCTGTCCTTTTGTTTGGAGTTCAGTGGTGACCAGTGCAGTATTCCTGAGTTTTTGGGTCTTCTTGCAGAGATACTGGGTGGAAAGTAGTTTGCCATTCCCTTCTACATCTTACAGATGAGGAAACTGAAGCAAACAGGTGTATCTGAGGTTGGATTTGAACTCAGGGAGATGGTCATCATGAGCCCAGGCCCAGCTCTTTCCACTGAGCCATCTAGCCTGGTTGCCCCCTTTTCTTCCTATTCTGACATTTAACCTCGGGTGCTGGGACAGCCCACTACCACCTTGTCACTCGAGGTGGCTTGGTGACTATTACATCTCTGCACAAAGGAAATTGGAGGGCTTTGGAGGGGTTTTCCAGTGTGAATCTTTGTAGAACTAATTGTTTGTAAATGTTTCTAGTGAAGTGATGGGTAAATTAATTTTTTTTTCAGGTTTCATTCTAGTGCGGAAAATGAATATTTTGGGATATATTGTTATTATAACAAAGTCAGGTGTTCATGCTTTCCGTACCTGCTAAACAAATTACTTGTTATTTTGGAAGGTGGAGCCAAAAATCCGTATTCTTACTTTGGTGAACTAAAGACATGTCATAGCAAAACAGGAATGTTGCTGAGGGCCAGCACTTAGCTTTGCCCTTCTTGAAATCTCCTTTTTATTTCTGCTTTGTTCTTTTTACTTGTTCTCCGTCCCCCACCCCATAGTTGATCCCTCTTTCACATTGTAAATTTTGACTTTAAAAATCTTGACAAAACTGTATACTTCTTTTAAACTGGAAATTTAAGCCGAAACTTTACCTCCTTTGTTGGAAATGTGTCAAACATACACTGTGTTGGCAAAGACTGAAACATTTGATGCATTTTCTAACTTACTTAATATCCCTAAAGGAAATTAAAAGTTTGCATGTGTTCATTAAAATCATGTCCTAAATCTTGACTATGTGCAACTGCCCAGCTTTAACTAAGCAAACCCTGCCCTTTATTCAATTGAATTCAAGGCCAGAGAACTCTTGTGGTGACAGAGACCAGAGCACCTGCTTGTCAGAAATCCTTCTGCCATGTGGAGAGAGGAAGCCCTTCACTGTTTTTAGTGGAATTTAGTTGGATCAAAATTAGGTCCACTTTCAACTAAGGTATACAATTCTGCATGCGCCCCCCTGGCTTTGGAAAAGACAGCTAGGCACCACAGTAATAGGAGTGTGCTTTCTAGTTGGCTGTGGAATTTAAAATCAAGAGTAATCATTTTTGCTAACTCATCCTTTATTCGCATAATCCACCATGGTTGCTTTTGCTTTTAAGATCGATCAAACTAAGATAATTTCCTGATGTAAGGGAGAAATTTTGCTGCTCAGGAAAGTACTTTTTTTTACCACGTGATGACTGGTGGTGGCAGGGATTATTTGCTTTACCAGTTTGGATTGTGATTTGTTGTGTTACTGACTGACCTACAAAGAGATCTCTCCTTTCCGTTCTTACAAACTAGTTTAAACCCTACGTCTTATAAGTTGAAGAACTTCCTGTCTTTAAATTGCACCATTCCTACCAAACCTCCCTACACACACACACACACCCCCTGCCATCAAATGATTGTTCTCCTTACTTTGGTGTTCCTTAAAGAAGACACACACTTGACTTTTTAAGCATTTATCTTAACCATCCTTCTCTTCCCCCCTCCAAATGCCTGGAACACTCCCACTCCCTCCTTCTCATCTTCACCTCCTGGCTTCCCTGGCTTTCTTCAAGTCTCAGTTAACATCCCATCTTTGGCAAAGAAGCCTGGCTGCCTCCTTTCTTCACAACATCAGGGCCATAGTCACGAGTTCCTTTATTAAATAGGTAATCAGATATATGCCTTTGAATTCTAGAAGGAAAGAAAAAGCCAAGTATGATTAATTATTCTTTTAGTATGGAAACCAGGCGCTCATTTTTAAGCTAATAATTGTATAGGCATGTGCCAGTGTATGCTATTTGATATTATGTATGTACATCATTAGGTGGTAATTAGCTTGGTTGCCAGTTTTTAATACAACATTTTAAAATCGTTATTTTTAAACCATCTTTACCTTACCTCTAACCCTCTTCAGATTTGAATATCAACATGGCTTTCTAAGCCAAAGAGAGCTAAGAACGCCTTCAGAAACAAAAAACAAAGAGGTATGAAAGTATAATGTTTGTTCTATTTTGACCTTCTAGAGGTCTTCCAATAATTCTTCTGGGCTTTTCATGTCTGATTTTGCTCAGTCAGTGATGGGGTTGACAGTTTTAATTCTGTTGCTAACACGTAGAATTAATTCATGATTTTAACACTGACATCTGTAAAAAGATTCAGACATTATCATATCAGATATTTTCTTGGCCATCTTTTTGAAGTCTGAGGTTCTTTCTTATAAGGTGGACCCTACTTGATTGATGCAAAAATAAGTTTAATCAAAACTCGTGTAGAATATGATGCATGTTGTAAGCAATCAGAACAATGTATATGTATCTTGAGATTCAAAGAACTTTACAACAAAGTTATAACAGTTTACTTATTCATGAAAATAATGGGTGTTTAGCTTTATCATGGGAATTAACTTGATAAGGGGGCATGGGGAGGGAGGGGCATAGTATCTTTTAACAGTGGTATTCTCCTTATAGTCACAAAGTACATGTAAACATTAATAAGCACGTGTACCGATTCACAGGTGATACCAACTCCATCCCGAAGTACCTCAGTTTTGGGCCCTGGTCAGTAACTGTTTCCTTGTTTATGTTTTGGTTTTTTTATTTGGGGGGGGGAACAACAGTAGAACCTTGTTCAGCAATAGGTTAGAAGTGAAACTAAGTGAAGAAAAGAAATAGATGAAATTTAAAGTAATACTTAACATTGTGGCCTGGAGCTAGATAATGGGGTTAGGATAGGGGAGAGGATGAGGGGGGGTTAGAGGTTAGAGAGCAGCTTAGCTAATCTTGTTAGGATCATTTTATACAAGTATGTGAGCCCGACATGTGCTTTTTGAGGAGTGGTGGCAATGCCCACCTGCCCAAACTGAAGAGAGAGGGTTCACCTATTGAGCAGCCTGTTCTCAAAGAGAGCACAGGTGAATCTGTAGATTTGGCTAAAAATAAAGGACGTCCAAAGAACAGTGGCAGTAATCCATTTAGTAATGCAAAGAAAGCTTCAAATTCAGAACAAACATTAAAAGAAATTGAAGATGAACCATATTTCAAAGACTTGTTGGAAATGAAAGTTTCTAATACATGTCTTTCTCCCGGACCAGGTAATTCCTCTACCGGTCCCACAAAGAACCCGTTGAGCTTTCTTCCAACACTATCTTCAAAAGATGATGATGAAACCTCTAACAGATGGTTAGATGAGGATGGAGGTGATGAGATACCTTATTGTGTATCACCTGATATCAGTGACTTTGATATCAGTGATTTTGACTCCTCTTCTGACTCAAGTACTCACCTACTGGATAAATCTTAATTTCTAAAGAGATTTTACATTTCTGCCATTTGTGTGTAGTAGTCTGTATAGTCTACATTTAAACATGTTTATAAGATACATTTAGTTTGGGTTCTTCTTTTGTAGACAGAGGGAGTTTTTCTGATGCAAGTTGATCAGCTCACTTCCTTTCTCTCTCAAAATTATGGATTGCCTGTCTCCTCAACAGATCCAGATAATGAAAAGTTAAATTGTTAGGGTCATTGATAACTGATAACCCATCCAAAGATGCCATCAGGAGGAGGACATTGGAAAGGCAACACTTCATTTTTTTGCTCCCAAAGCCCCCTCGACACATTTTAACAGTGCTTTGTAGGAGGATTCAGAGTTGGATTCTAGGCAACACAGAACATCCTCTTGAGAAGTCTTTGGAAAGTTCCTTCACATCCCAATCAGTTTCAGGCTATAATGTGTGTGTATTCATATCTTTCTGTTGTATTCAGCATGTGGAGTTAAGTACATTAAATAAACATATATATATATATATATATATATACATATATATACATATATGGTGCATATACAAATATATGTATGTATATATATATATATATATATATATATATACTTTTTTTTAAGATGTTACTGAGAATAACAAATCACGTGAAAAAAGGAGGAGAGTTTCTTTTGGAGCCCCTCTGAGACCCGAATTATTTGATGGAAATTTACCTCCCAATACACCTCTTGAAAAAGGAGAAAGCCCAGAGACGAGCAAAACAGCATCCACAACCTGGGTCCCGAGAAACCTCAATGATGAAGGTACAATATTTTAGACAAGCATTTAATCTGTCTGTAGTTGAAATTATGCATTTCTCTATGATCCATACCCTAACTGCATTTTTAACAAGTACTGGTATATATTATCCTATCTTCAAAAATGATTTCCTACGAAATATCTTTTCAAATGGAGAGAGTTCAGTTATTTGTTGTTATGTTGGCTTCTCATACACTAGGGACTCAAAGTATTCCAGCCTGTAAGGGGAGCATCATGTCTTGATAGAGAACATGCGTGAACACGCTTGAGTGCCCTGAGTTTCTCTAGGTCTGCTATGGTTATTGCAGTGTTTAAAAGAAAAGCTGAGACATAAAATCTCACTTAACATTTGCCATCATACATAGCATGTGATGCACAAAATAAGCAAAACCTTTTTTTGCCCATTATACACTCTGCCTTAATCAGACCCTAAAACTTGTAAGACCTCAGAGCATCAAAGGGAGGTGACGTGTACAGGGTAGGGCCCTCAGACTCTAAACATGTTCAGCTTCTGCTTTGTGCTGCTGCTATTCGTTTTATACTTAGGGGGGCAAGTCATATAGTCCCTATTTCCTAGGGTCATTGGGAAAAGAGAAAGTTCTTTGCTACCCTGACAAGTGCTGCTAGGTAAAGAAATGAATCCTTTGCCAAACAACACTCCTAACAGTATGCCCCTGTAGTTATGGTTGCTGCCACTGGGTGGTGGTAGACAGTACATCTGCAGCACTGAGCTCTAGTAGTGATGGAAAACTCCCTTCATGCTTTTCGAGCTGATGGCAGGGGTCCCATCTACAGCAAACCAGTGAACTTGCCAGCATTCCTAACAAGTGGCCAGACAGGCTTTGTCTGAGGACCTCATCTACCTCCAATTGCCTTGGGGAAGCAATCCTTTCCAACTTTGGGGTAGCGTAGCTTTTATTGGTAGGAAGGCAAGGCCTAAACTAACATTCTCAGGACCAATGGTGGCTGGCATCATTGTTATACAGAGACATACATGTTGCTATATCCGTCTCACTGCTACCTGGCAGCAGGGGGAGACTTTTGTCCCCAAAGCTCATTGAGCCTCGAGGGGTGCCTTTGCAGAGATCGTCTCTGGAGGATTAGCCCTCAGAGGGTTGTTGTCAGACTCAAATGAAATGTCTGTTACAGGCTTTTGATGCACCTTGGCCATATTCAGTCATTTATTAGGGAACCGTAGCACATCTTGTCATTTATAAACTGTATAAAAATGTCCACTGCAGCAGACGCATTCTAAACCACCAGAAAAAGAGCCTTCCCCCAGTGTAGTGGAAGGGATACCGCCATGTACAAAAGACCCACACCAACAGCTTCCTGCCATTCCTAATAAGAAGTCTGCACCGAGCAGGGATAACATCACCTTGTCAAAATTCGTGGAGGAGAGAACAACATCTATTCCCGAAATCCAGACCATCCAGCCCCACAAGACCCTGAGCACACCATCGGTCTGGAGGAGATCCTCCTCTGCAAGAAGAAGCCAGGTTTTGGATGCGCTACAGACGATTGACTCCAACAGAGGAGCACCAAAAGACAATCTCATGGGTATTTGAGCAGGGAATCATTTTCCGATGGTTTTTACAGGCAGGGGGCAGGCAGTCCCCTGGCTTCAAAGAGCTTAAGACATCAGTCTACCAACACAGGGAATGGACGTAGGAGGAACAGTAAGAAGGCCAGTATATGGCTGGATCAGACAGTGCAGAGCTGTGTGCGGGGCTTGAGGTAAAAGGTGTAAATAAAACAAGGCTGGAAAAGCTAGTAATCTCATGGGAGTGATAGAAAGCTGCTTTTAGAGTTTGTCAGTAACAGGAAGGAGTGGAGACATGATGGGTAAGACTTGTGTGCTGGGGTTAGCCAAAATCACTTTGGCAACTACTGCAGGAAAGAGAAAAGGAGGGAAAACAGGAATTCGGCACTTGTTACAAATCAGTTTGCAGTGAGAGTAGGGGGGCAGCTTTTAGATACAGTATCTGGTGGTATTTGTGAGTGAAGAGAAAAGAGGAGTTTGACCTGATAGATGTGGGGAGAAGAGATAAATGGCAACATTTGGCTGGATGTATCGAGCAAGAAAGTGGGGGAGAGAATGCCTTGAAGTGAGTTGGGTGACTAGAAATAGAGAAGATATCGGTGGTTAGGGAGGTTTGGTTTTCTCTTTGTTGATTGTTTTATCCAAAAAATGTTCATTTATGTTCTGTTTGAATGAATTTTATTTGTATTAATTGTTGGTTACTTTCCTTAACAGTTGTACACTCTTGGGCAGATGTGGTGAGATTAGGTACTAAAAAAACCACAAGCACACGTTGTTACAAAACATGGTCTTGAGAGAAGGATAATAAAAAAGCAGAAGAGATTAACCCCCAAGGTCAAGGTACATTACAGAAATGTGGAGATCATTTTTACGTGTGTGTGTGTGTGTGTGTGTGTGTGCGCGTGTTATACATATACATAATACATGTGTGTATATACATATATATCATCATGTGTATTATACATTTACATTTGTGTACTTAGGAATGTCATCTGAGCAAACATTAAGAAATACTGAATTTATTTTTGGAAATGTTTCTTTTTCCTTTACAGAAGAAGCCTGCAAACCACTCACAGAATCACTTTAGCACAAGCTTCGCAAACTCTCCCTGCACCCTAGTGATTGGCAGAGCTCATACTGAAAAAGTGACCGAGCCTGTATGGCCCTGTATGATGCTGAACAACTTTGTTTTAAACCCTAAGATGGATATGAATGAGGATTTAGCAGGTGAAAGAGTGTGCACAGAAGGCCATGAGAATGTCATGCAGTGTGTTTGTAGATGCACAATTTTAAAAGAGCTGATAGAAGTGCTCCCCACCTCCTTACAGAAGGGGGAGCGTGCATTCTTGAGAGGTCCTGGCCAATTGTTGTGGTCGGATCTGGTGGGATAGCCTATCTTTTCAGCTACAAACAAACCAGCCCCATGATAACTCTGAGTTGGCATAGTTATGCCTCTGGGCAGGGCTAGGCTGTATCTTGCGGTATATGGTCGGGAAGAATAAAGGTGGTTGTGAAGCAACAAGAGAAGCAGACAGACTGGCCTAAATGCCAGTCAAGAACTGAAAGCCAGTGGAAGGAAGCAGGAAAGGAGAGTTGAGTTTGCAGCCTAGGTTGGGGGCCTTGGACTTTGAAAAGAAATCATTATGCCTAATGAGCAGAGGGAGTCTGTTGCATTGTTTGAAGTAGGAATGAGAGTCAAGAGTTTGCATCTAGATTGATTGCATGCCCGGGATTTTGAGAAGAGATCTCTTTATGAATAGAATGGAAGGGGACTCTGTCCCATTGTTTTCTTGTTGGAAGAGGGTGGAATATGACTTTTTTACTTTTAAAAAATACATATCTGTAATATATACAGTACATACGCATATATGATGTTCTATGTTTTTATTGCATACATTAATGTTACTTATTTTCTTCATTAATAGAATTACCAGGCATGTTTGAAACCTCCATCAAAAAGTAAACTGCAAATGTGTCTCCTGAGATTGGTAGAGATTTACACAATTCTTCAGGAGATGAAGACTCTTTAGAACGTAGGTTACATGATGACTCTAGTGCTTGGTTTTTCTTTTTTTTTCTGTGAAACTTTGGAATGGCAAGTTATGATTTGCCCTTGCCATGCCAGTAGAGGTTTCATGAGTTGCTATAGCTAACCTTCAACCCAAAGGGCTGGTCCCTCACTGAATCACAATGACATAACCTATCCATGTAGAATTTTTACTTTATGATGAATAAGGAGAGCTAACATCTAAACGTAGTTCAGACATTCTTGTGATGTGACAATTTAGACATTTCTTATAAGTTATACTTAGCAACTATACAAAGAATCTTTGACTTCAATCTCCCCCATCCAATTGCAAGTCTTGTCAGTTCTCTCTCCAAGGATAAAGGGATGTATCCCTTTTTTCCTACTACAGTGGCCAGCACTCTACTTCTAGGCCCTAATTGCCTCTAGCCCTTAACTGTTAAAATAACTTCCTAATTGGCCTCCTCTCCACAATCCTTCCCTTCATACAGTTTTCAACGTTATTTTCCTAAAGTGCAGATCCAACCCATAGTAATTAGTATGCCCAAGAATCTTTAGTTGGCTTCCTCGTCCTTTAGGACTAAACGCAAACTCCCCAAACTCACTTTATTTCATATTGCTCTCCTTCATGTACTCTGTATTCCAACCAAACTAGCCATAACTTAAAGGTATATATGTCTATATATTATATTTACATGTAATGCAACATATCTATCTATATTTATGTGTCTATGTATCTATCTAGTTATATCTAGATATATATATTTGTAACCTGGATAGGCACAGATCTGCAGATTTGCATCATCTTACTAAATATTATTATCATTGGCCAGGAAAACACAAGACTACAAAATAATAATTTGGGTAGACCTTTAATTCATAAAGAAGAATTAGTCCCTAGACTAGTGAGTGGAGGCATAGTCTTTGTTTCATAATTATCTTTATTCTGTCATTTATTACAGCAGAGAAACTGATACGTACTATTCCTAACACAGTGGAACAGCTATATGGCCAGAGCATGATATGCTGCCCTGCAAATGAAATCATTCAAACCCTAAAGAAGATCCCTGAAATTGGAAGTGGTGAAATAACAAAGATGCCACTTCAAGAAGTCGATGTAGACCCCAAAATATTAACACCCAATATTTCACTTTTGAAAAACACTTGTACATCAAAGGAAAATAGATCAACACCACATCTTAGCAGAATTAAAAAAACAGCAGCACTAGATCAAAAAGTTACATACGTGGAAGAAAAATTTGAAAGTGGAAATGTGGAAGATCTGACCACCAGGAGACTGATAAGAACGCCTAAGGAAAGGGAAGAACATTTAATAGAAGACGTGAAAGTTGTCAAGAAGTCTGGTAAAACATCACAGAAAAAATGTGATCCAGAATACTCAATGAGTATTGAGAAGTTATATGAAATACCCAAAATAGAACTAATAGAAAACACACCAAGCAGCCTAGGGAAACTTAGAGGAGAACCCAAAAAAGTAGAAGAGCTTCCAGGTCATAGGAATATGACAGTTCATAAGGAAAAGGCAAAAGCAGGAGAAAACTTTTTTAGGAGGTTTTTAGGAGGTTTCAGGAGAGTTTTCAAAACATCAAAAGTAAAACCAGAAGATCTAAAGAGATTCAAACTGATGGAGAATGCTAGACCTAAAACTGATACTGATGAAAAAACAAAAGTTAGTGATTCAGTTAGTGAAATAACATCTCACACACAATGAAATGAAAAGAAGGCACCAAAGGTCTTAAAAGAAATGAAATTGAAAAAAAGAATTGAGAATAAAGGAATGATGGTGTTTCGTTCTAGGAATAAAAAGGAAATATTTCCTAGGCAGTCAGATATGACATTCTGAAATAGTGAAAAGGAACCTTTTAAGAATTTTCCAGGTTTGTTAAAGAGTCAAAAGGCAATACTGCACCCTAGAAACAGAAATAAACCTATGGAGCAAGTAAATTTGAGTTTGAGTGAAATCAATGAGTTACACACAGAAAATGAACAAAAAAGTATCAAAAATTTGCAGGGGAAGACCATTGTGACTGAAGATGGACTGGCTTCAAGAAAGAGAAGCAAGTTAAATTTGAAAAAGAAGATATGCATAGAGAGTAAGGAAAAGATACCACCTAAGAGTTTCACAGTTCATGAAAAGGTGGAATGTTTAACATCTAGCAACATACTTAAGTCTGCTAAGGAACCACAAGAGCCCAATTTAGGTTTACCGACTGAACTATGTAAGACAGAGAATGAGGAGAAGAAACTTAAAGATGCAAGTGCCAATATAGGGATGATGACTTCGAAAACCAGAGGCAAAAATAAAGTAGATACATTGTCCAAGGAAACAAAGAAACTGCACAAGAGCTTCCCGGAGAAGTTTATGTCATCAAGATCACATAAAAAGGAAACAGAAACTCAAGAGAGGATATATATGGAGTGTCTAGGGAAGAGTCTCCTGGAGAAGAATGCAGTGAAAGTCCATGTCACAGGTCTTGACCATCTAGAAGTAGGGGCATTAGATTACTCCATGCTGCCAGGGTGGCACCTGAAACAAAGGTAGAAGAGCCAAAGAAGCCTGCGAAAGTTCGTAAGACTGGATTAAAGTCTAGTGGCAAAAAGAAAAAGAATAGAGGCCTGAAAGGATCTAATGCTGTATTAACATCTAGGAACATAGAAAAGGATGGCAAATGCACAGGTATTTGCCCGGATATCTTTCAAAGTTCATTGGTACCTCAAGGAATTTTATGTTTAACTAGAAACAGAAACAAACAACCTCAAGACATTCATCGGATACCTAGTCTAAAAAAGATCATTGAAAAGCAGCTTCCAAGCCTGGAAAATAAAGCCCAGGATAGAGTGCAAGAATCCTTTAGAATTGGAAGCCGAAATGGAACTGACGAAGAAATCTATAGTACTCCTTTGCTGAGGGCCATGGAGATAGCTTGCGCTGAGAACAAAAATAGAGCTATGATTGAACACCAGTTACATTGAAGGTCTACTCAGAAGAAGCAGACACAATGCAGAATAGATAGGATTTAATCTTTTGTCAAAGGACATCTTACCTTTGGGTAAGGTTGGAAAAGCAACTGTTCTCCAGATTCTTCCTAACAACGAGAAAGCAGGCAATACAGATCTGCAAAGATCTGCCAATCTTAGCAAACATGACCCCTCCACCACAGCAGGAGAATCAACCCCAGAAAAAGTCTCAAATTGGAAGAAAACTTTTTACACTACTCTTTTCAGAAAGAGAATAAAATCAAAGACACCTAGCAGTATACTGTTCGAGCCAATTGATGTTGGAAAGTATAGCCCAGAGAGTCGTCTCCTAAAATCTGTCCCACCGGTCGGTGACAATTTAAAAGAAATCCATTCAGAGCCTTCTTTGCTTACAGAACCCAGCAGCAGTGCTGTGTTAGAAAATAACAAAAACCAGACTCAAGAAAAGGTCACTGAGGAACCCATAAAATTAAGTAATGACCAGGAGTTTTTGAACTCATGGAAAACAGGAAAACACAACTTAAGCAGACCAGACCAGCTACCAGAGTTCAAAAGAGGTATGATGTCACATTTTATGATGTTTCTTTTTAATGGGCATATCACATGTTTTGCTAAATTTCTCAATGGTTGAAGTTCAGCTCTCAGTATTATATAAGATAATCTAAAAAGCATTTACATGACTTTGGAATGAAGTGATGTGTGTTTGCTCTCTAAGGCAATTTAAATAAAATATAATGCGAAACCCTTTTTTCTATACCAATCTTTACCTTATTCTGTGTTGAGAACACATATATGGTCAACTTTTCCAGAACAGATGAAACAGATCTTGTCTCTGTCTTGGGGCAGAGGAGTGCCTAAGTGTTTGGAATATGTTGAGCTTCCTCCCTAACCTAACAAAGCAAAAATTTTAAATGAGCACTGTAGGGCAGGGAGGTAACCAAGTTTGCTTTTAGTTTTGTTATTCTGAAACCAAAGTGAAGAGCAACGATTTGTTATGAATGGTAAAACATTGATTCTTTTAGGTACAGTATAATGCCTTGTTTATCCAAGTAGTATCAGATTTGGATAGTAGAAGCTAATTTTACAGATCACTGAACCCTCACTCTGTCCTTTAAGCACTAGCTTTTTTTATTTTGTTTTAACCACTTTAGATAGAAACCTTGCTAAAATCTATTACACACTTCTCTGCTTTCTAAAGCTGAGTATTCAAAATGTAATTTAACCTTTTCTTGATGAGTAGTAGTCATCATTATGAACATCAATTACTATGCTGTAATATAATGATATTTGCAGACCCACAATCATCCCAGGCTCTTCATTGTCAGCGATACCTTTTTCTTACTGTCATTTGCTTTCCTTCTCCCCTTTTCCCCCTCCCCCAACCTCCTTGGCAGCTATAGAAAACTATATAACTAACCTGTTACAATTGTGGGTAAAGTAAGCAGACTCTCTGGTCCCTCTGTCTTTAGGGTTCTCACACCTGTTCTAAAGAGTTGAAGGCCCCAGATGGATGAGATTGTTTTGCCCTAAACTATTTACATTTTAAAGCACCTATCCTGAAAGCCTTAATAAGCATCACTTAACTTTAATTTATAGTTACAATTCCCCAGGTATTCAAAAGGAACTTCCTCACCTTATTATTTAAATAATTGTTGTTGTTGTAAGAATAGTGAGGAATTTTCGTGTACTATTCCATAATCTTTCTTCTACCGATTATCTTACAGTCACACCGTAACTCAATTGATGGCCTTTGGGCCCTTACTTGCTTACAGAGGGAGGGCAGCTTATCTTGTGGTACGATCTTGGCACTTTGTTTGGCTGGTCCACAGGCCACCTCCACACACTGTTAAGTCCTTCACTGGGTCTAGATTCAGAACCTTTGAATTGAGTGAAACCTGGCCCAGTTTGTGGCACAGAGATGACTTTCCAGAGCCCTCTGGTCACTGTAGTAGGATTAAAGCAGAGGGAAACCAGACTCTTCAATTGACCTAATATTAGAATATAGCACATTTGTCAGAAATAAGAATTCAAGTGAATGTTGCATTATCTTGAATTTCACGATGAAAAGTGTAACTTAGGCCTCTCATCATATGAATTTGGACATTCTGTGCGTGTGAATTTGTTTCTATATTTTATCCATTTTGACCCAGTGTAGGATCTTTAGTTGAAAGCCAATGCTTTTTTGAATTTAGCATTTCCTTCAGCCATTTCAAAAATGATATGAAGTTATATAAGTCCACATATCAACAAACTGAGAGGTTTACCCCAGTGTAGCTTGTGATCGATTATGTTAAATAAAATGTTTAAGTTAACTTGTGATTTGTCTTGCAGATCTTTCCTTTTTCATTGATTTGAAAAAGAAAAAAAATATTAAACCTAAACTGAACAGGTTCTTTGTAGAATTTTTGCAGAAAAGAAGACTAGCATATGGGATCTAATAGGAAATTGGGTTTCAGGTACTGTGGTTAGATAATGGGATATTGCTCTAGTGTTTCTAAATAACTTTGTAATTGGAAATGCCATTACATCTGTCTGCTGTGAATCCATATGTATACAAGATAAATTATTTACATATGTCTATCTTGTGTTCTTTGTTCCAAATCCAGGCAACAAAGAAAGTGAAGACAGCAAAAATGATGGTCATCTTAAAAATAGTAAAATATAATTTTAAGGCATATAATTTTAAGTGAATATAATAAAATAGTTTGATTGTCACAAAATTTCAAGTTATTTTGTAAATGGGGCAGTGAATGACAATGTTCAAGGCAATGAACATTCGTTTTTTGTTTGGGGTTTTCTTTTTAGCAAATGTAAACTTCTTTTCATTAAATGTTTTTCTTCATAACCTAAAAACTTTTTGTGTGAATTCACTGAATTTACTTACTCATGGTTTTGTGGTAAATAAATTATACACAGAATGTATACACATGCATTTTTATGGCAGTCCCAATGTTTCTCCACCCCTTGCAATGATTATTTTATGAAACATAATCTATCTTATCTTGTTTCATTTGTTTTCTCTCTACCAAACGGCAAAAACTGTTGGGGGGGGAAGTTGTTTTTTTTTTCCAAACACTGGCTTTTTCAGATTTCACTGTAGTAAGTTTTGTTTAGACAGTGTCCAATTTTGAAAATTCTAGAATGTCGACAACACGTGGGCCTGCCATTTGAAACTCAGAGATTCGACCTTGTTCCAACTCTTTTAAGGCCTAACTTGGCTCATTTGGCTGTTGGATATTTGAAGGCTTAATGTAGCAGTATTCATAAGCAAAAACTGCTTTGGGAGGGGAGAAGGGGAGGAGTTTCCATTTTCACAGAAGCCAGCCTTGGGCAAGATTCTTATGATTATAGAGGATTGTATGGGATATGA